TGCTCCCTAGCAACATGCTTACAGGACCAGCTCCCCACCAGCCCCTGGCGCCACAGTCCCTGCAATACTCTGTTCAGGGTTGGGGAGGAAGAGAAACACTCATAGTGGAAAAACCCTCCATCAGTACAGACTGATTGCATGGCCTGAGGTGAAACCACCCTCCATGCCTCAGGTTCTCTCATCTGTAACAGCAGGAGAATGAACCTGATCTCCTCCACAAGGGTCTCCCTGGCCAGCCCCCTCCCCATCTCATTCAGAGGCTGACCAACTTGGAGGAGTCCACACACCAGGGCTGTGCCAGAGGGCTGGTGCCCAGGTTGGGCCTCTAGGGCTGAGTCCAGCATGTCCTCAGCCAGTGCCTGCTGGCCATGGGCAAAGTGGGGGGAACCTATTCCCTTCTCTGATCCAGTAACACTCACTTGGGTCCAAAACACATGCAGAGGCTGGCCAAGTAGCCGTTGGAGACGGAGAAGAGGATCATGAAGCCGATGTACCAGCCATCATGCTGGAAGATTGTGGGCAGGTACACGTGGGACCGCAGGTTGCATAGCATGAAGAGGGGGATGAAGACCACGCGGAGAGCCACCATGAAGGGCAGGAGCCGGCTGTTCATCCCAGGCTGGGCAAGAGGGAAAGGCAGGCTATTAGTGTGCTGCAGGGTGAGGCAGACAGGAGGGGGAGGGGAGCACAGCATACGGCACCCTCCAGCAGGTCTCCCCCTGCCTTGACTCCAGGCCCAGTCCTGAGCCTCACCATCAGGCCGAGGCAAAATCAGCCAGCTTGGGTGGGGGGCATAGCAGAGAGGGCCCCTCTCCCTGGGCTCCACAGGTCTCAGCAGTTTGAATATGACAGAGAGGACCACCTGTAAAGGCCCAGCTCCTGGACCAGAGATGCTGACTGATGACCCAAGGCCTGATAGCAAAAGCAGTGGGAGGCTGCTGGGGCCCAATCCCTGGCTCCCACATCCCCAGCAGGAGTGACCCATAGAATCATAGAAAATGAGGGCTGGAAGGGACCTCAAAAGGTCATCCAGTCCAACCCCCTGCTCAAAGCAGGACCAGCCCTACCCATCTCATCCTAGCCAAGGCTTGTCTAGCTGGGTCTTAAACACCTCTACGGATGGAGATTCCACAACCTCTCTGGGTAACCTGTTCCAGTGTTTTACTAGCCTCCTCGTGAGAAAGTGTTTCCTAATATCCAACCTAAACTTCCTTTGCTGCAACTTGAGACCATTGCTCCTTGTTCTGTCATCCAAGACCATTGAGAACAGTCTAGCTCCCGTACACACCGACTCAGTACACATCCAGCACACACCCAGATCTGTCCACCCTGTTCCCTCAGGATCCCTGTCCCCTGTCCCTGCAGGTGCCTTTCCTGTGGACTTCCTCAGCCCCAGGTATCCTATGCTACTGTGAGTTCCTGCCACAGGGCACCCTCCTTGCTCCAGTTGGCAGGCCACTACCCATAAGAATGCTCTTGCTGTCTGTGGCATCTGCCACAGAAAGAAAGGCACCATCAGGGCTGGGTCCAAGCTGACATTATAAAGAGGAGTTATAGCAGGCGGCTTGGAAGAAGCCAGTCATACAGGCTTCCAGCCCAGGTCCCCCTGACAGGCTGATGGGGTTGCACATCGGCACCAGAGGCTCATGAGAAGAGGTCAAACATCCTGGCCTGGGTAGCACAGCTTTGGGGGGGTGTTTGCTGCTGGAGTCTGCCTAACTTGTGTCTGAGCTCTCTGGTCTGAAAAAAGGGGAAGGAAGATGATGGATTGAGGACTTTGGGGCCTGGGGGGGGGGGGGGGGGGGGGGGGTGGAAAGAGGATGGGCAGGAAAGGTGGCAGGGGTCAGAGGGTGGGAAGGTTTGTTTGTTTCGGATCTTTGGGACAGTATCTGTTAAAAATAAGGAGGAACACCTCTGTTGATGGGTAGGGGTGACAGGAGGTGGAGGCAAATGCTTGACTGCTGCTCTGCTGGAGCTCTATAAACTTGTTCTCCAAGCTGCATGGGGTATGGACCACCTCAGGGCAACAGATGCAGGGTGGACAGGGCACAGCCAGAGACCACTTGAGCCCCATCCCACAGTGACCCATGCCGCTGGAACATGGGGCCAGTGGCAGCTGCACAGGAGCCAAAGTCTGGAGCACAAATTCTGAGAAACCACTAACTACTTCAGGGAAAACTACCACCCCATGGCAGCTGCAAGAGCCACCTAGCCCCACCCCTGACCTCTCCTCCCCCTCCTGAGGACATGGCTGTGCAGGGGAAACCCTCTAGCAGCATCAGAAAACGGGAGCTCTGGCTGTAGCTAGTCCCCTCACCTCCCATTGCCAAAGCTGCTTGGCTCCTGACCCAGACAGTCTGACTAGTTCCTAGTCAGTCTTTTCCCAGATCACTGAATTTGCACTTCTGAGGCTGTAGTGAAAAGTTTCATCTGGTCTAAAAGAGCCTTCCAAGGGAACACTTTGGTTCCTGTTGGTGCTGGTAAAATGTTCCAGCCCTTTCCCTCCAACCCAGTCAGAGGCAGGTGAGCTGGGACTCCCACGCTGCATGCTTTGTGGAGGTATCGGCCCACGAGACAGGCAGCTGCAGTGGGGGGTGGTATCAGGACACCTTGATGCTATGATGTGCTGGATTTCCCTTCTCAGCAACACCTGGCTTATTCCAGAGCTGCTGCCCTGACTGTGCAGGAGTTGCTTCCGATGGGCACACAGGACACAGAGTGGGACTTACCCTAATATGTCCAAAACCATCCCTCAGCTGCTGGGGAAACTTGGCACCCCACTGGGCAAGCCAGACCGGGGTGGCAGGGGTCAAAGAAGTTGTGGGCACCTAAGAGAGTCTGAAGTGGGACAGTCACGTGCACATGGGCTATGTCAGCACTGTGTTTGCTCAGCGAGGTGAGGGCAGCCATACCCAGGGAACACACAAGTCCCTGAATGAAGACACAGGCCTGAACCACACACAGCCGCAGAGCAAGAGTTTCCAAAAAGCATGTTTGGAAACAGCTCTGCCTGGGTTGTCCTGCCAATGGGGAAATGACCCAGAGCTCCAGCCAGGTGGCCCAGGGTGCAGGGCGAGGGCAGCCAGCAGTGACGACCCCACCAGCACAGGGACGTTTGCAGAGGCAGCTTTTGGCAGCAGGAGTGTTCAGCAAGGCCAGGTCGGCTGGCTCAGGCCCGGACAGGCCCCCCATTGCGTCCTGCTGTCAAGAGTTTATTCAAACAAACAACCTGAACAATACTGGGGAAAAGCATGGCAGGGGGCAACAGGGGCAGAGCAGGAAGAGATCCAGACATGGAGAACCTCCTCCTCACCTACCACAACATGTGCAAGGGGGAACAGTGCACACACCCAGCTCTGGACCCACCATATAGCCCGTGGGAAGTGGGAGAGCAATGAGAACCTTTGTCCTGGGAGTGGCACAGGGCCACACACACACAGCCATGCAGCAGGACACTCATATGCATCCTCTCCCCAGCAGTACTGAGTTTCAGCTTCCTGGTCCTGGCTGTACTGAGGGGCCAGCAATGCCAGGGAAGCATTGGGAACCAAGCAGCTGACAGTCTCTGGGTACTCAAAAGGGAAGGCAACATCAGCCAGCAACCAGGGCTGGGCCAGACCCCAAACAGCTCCAGGCTCCTGTGGGAGCCAAGCCACACCCAAGAGAAGCCAGAGGGGCCAGCGAGCTAGGACAGGGCAGCTTTGGGCACCATGGTTGGCACCGCAGCCTGCTCTGGGCACTGTATAAACCTGGTCATGAATCGGGAGCCTGAGAAGCCTGTGGGAGGCAGAGGCAAGCACTGAACCCTCCCCTCCCCTCCCCTCCCCAAAACACACTATCTTTCACCCCAGAGCCTTGCCAGGGTCCCACCCCTACTGTTTGCATAACTGGAGTGTGGGTTTGTTTACAAGGAGGCTGAGATTGAGGATATGGCTTCATCCAAGCCACAGAGATAGGAAAATTGCAGCAACATGGGAGCATTTAGCTCAAGCCACAGCCAGTCTGAGCCTGCCCCCGCTCTAGCTCCAGTCATGAGCACAAGAGCCCTCATTCTTCACATGCTCCGAACTCCACTCAGAGCACTGCTCACCCCACCACACACTACCCCTGCCCCTCTTCTCACACTACAGCTCAGACTCAGGTCCACAACCCTCGAGGCTACCAACACCATGCAGGCCCATGCCCTCCTTCCCTCCCACTGCCCTTTACGTCATGGGGCTTCCTGCCTAGGGTGGGTTTTCCCCACTGGACAAGGGCTTCCTTTCAGGCCATTGTCCGTACCTCATCTCTGGGCTTCTGCCCCTCATGCACCTGGCTGCCCCCCCTATGTCCCAGCCCTGAGGTCTCTATTCCATGGCTTGCTTACTCTCTCTGACTGCCTGCAAATTCCCATTCCACCCAGTACTCAGGGAATTAGCCATAGATGCTCAAGCAAACCATGTCAGACCCAGCTGGGGAAACGCCCTGAATTCATACCATGACTGGCCTCAGCCAAAAGAGGAAAGATGGGATTGGGGGGTGGGGAGGAAAAAAAAAATCTTCCTGGGCCCTCCCTACTGTCATCCTTCTCCAGTCACTTGGCTTTCAGAGCCAGGATCAGGATTCAGTCCCCATTCCCCTGCTTCAACCCAAAGGACGAGACAGCCTCAGCAAATGGCAATGCCAAGGAGTCCTGTGAAAAGGGGGCTCTGACAGGCTGGCTAGCCAGGACTCAGAAACAGAGGCCCAGTAGTTTGGCTCTGGCACCCTGCCCCAAACTTACCCACAAGCAGAAGGCCGTGAGGCTCCGTCCCAGCCAGTCAGAGACATTAAACATCAGGAAGCAGGCAACAGGGATAAAGTATTTTTCTGCAGAAAGTGGAGGGAGGTCAATACCTGGCTTGAGCACACACCCCACTCCACCACCTGCTGTGTGAGGCGCATTCTGCAGCACCAAGTACCTGGCAGTGGGGGAGCTCAGGGCCATTCACCAACATGGCACCTCTCAGGGCCACGAGGCTTGCGGCCTCCCCCCCCCGCCCATCCCCCATTGTTCACACTAGCCCTACAGCCAGGAGGGATCTATGCCCAGTCCTCACCACCACCTGACTTAAGGACAGCAGCCTGGCTCCCAGTGTGTCAGAACACCTGGCAGGGAGCTGGGCCTCTGGGCCATATGTAGATCACTGGTTCCTGTGAGATGACACCAGGGTCCCTCCCCTCTCACTACATGCACTCCTAAGCCCAACCGCCTTCCAACTCTGCCTCTTGGAAGGGGATGGAGGGCACTCCCTTTGTACCCTTCCCCCTCCCTTGGCTCCCAGGAGAGGAAGGGGGTGACACTATCTGCCCTGCACAGGGCATCACTTACTCCACTCGGTTTCCCCTGCGATGTAGGAATCCACCTCGGCAGTGATGGAGGGGAAGACACCAATGGTGACAGTGAAGACAAAGCAGACAGACAGAGCCATGACCCAGATCTGGGGGACAGAATGGAGCCAGGGCCTATCACCAAACAGGCAGGGACAGGCAAGGCCTGAGCTCTGACACTCAGCTGGCTCTCTGGGAGAGACCCAGACATGCACCATAGGGCATGACTGGTCTGTGGCTCACATACCTTCTTAAAGATGCTGACAACTGAGGGCTTCTGGTTGGGGTTATGGAGGGGCACAGTGTTCAGCTTGTTCTTTTCCACACCGTTGGGCTCATCTGGTGTTGGGAAAAACAAACAGGAAAGGTGAGAAGCTGCAAGGTGATAGCTGATCCCAGGGACCAAGAAACCCTTTCTTTTGTAGGTGGTATCCTGTTCATGCCAACCACTTCCCCCTCCCAGGGGCAGAGGGTGCAGCCGCCTCCCCAAGTCCATCTCCAGTCCCCAACTCCTCTTGCTACAACTCTCTGCTCGGTAGGCCTCACCTTTCTTGATAAGGTCCATTTTGGTCTCCAGCTCAGCATGTTTCTCATGGACCCGGTACTCTGTCTTGTCCTTCATTGAGTAATATCGAAAGAAGTCCTGCCAAAAGAAGCCGCCAGAGAGCTCGCTGGTTTGTGTGTGTG